CCCAACCTTCATAACTTTGCACTTGTTGGGGTTAAACTCCAGGAGCCATTTGTAAGACCAGGTTTGAGGCCTGTTTAGATTGCTTTGTAGGCTTATCTGATCCACCTCCGCTAGTATTCTCCTCACTAGCTGCACATCATCTGCAAACAGGGACACCTCTGACTATCCCTTCTGTCATGTCATTCGCATATACAAGAAAGAGCACCGGACCTAGGACAGACCCTTGTGGAACCCCACTCAACACAAGCACCCACTATATCACCTCGTCTTGTACCAGCATGTTGTTTCCTTCCTGTTGGGTAGATAAATTTAGATTTCGAAAGCATATAGGCAAGCACTGGTTCTCAGAGTTGTCGATGCATGGAACAGTCTTCTGAGAAGGGTAATTGAGGCTAGGAATCGAGTGGCTTTAAAGAGAGATTGGACAAATATATGAGTGGGAGGGGCTAGGTTTGATCGGTGTCGTGCATACTGGAGTAAATTTTTGGGTAGCTTCCGGAAAGGGTGGTTTTGATAAAGACCTGCTTTGTATGGGCCAGTAGGCCTTCTGAGTGTTCCTCCATTCGTATGTTCTTATTCCGATTCATTGCAGTACTTCCCCTACTCCTCCTGCCTGCTCCTCTAGCTCTTCAACCACTCTCTTGGATTAAGAGCCCTTTCCTGGCATCGAAGAACCTCCCTTGAGGGGAGAGTTCAGTATTGTCAATATTCACATTCCGTTATCATACCAGTTTTTAATATGGGTTTGTGTGATGCTCTCAACTCCGCAAGACCACATATAAATGGGATTTTGGTGGTGTTTCTTGGGTTAAAATTTGGTATGTTTCCAAAATGAATATTGGGTATGTTGAAGTATTAAGTTTTTACTAGCCTTACCATTCTGTGATTTCATGTAACAACCACTAAATCTCTGTTGCATTTAACATGACTCTCAGGATACAACCTCTTCCTGTAACTCAAGACTTATTTGATGCTACTCATTTTCTTTCACAATACCCAGTGTCACTTTCTGAGCATTAGCTATTAGATATTTTTTAAACTGGGGTATGTAAGATAAAATAAATCCATGTTAGTATATCTAATCACAAATAAGCAAAAAATAACTTCTGGCAGCAGGGTGTCTTGGCAAACCTATGCACCATTAACACCTGCACACTTTTGATGCATGGCATGAGGACAGATTACTTCCTGTCAGAAAAAACATTAGTCTGTATGGGTGTTATTACCAGGGTCAGTTTGAAATTCATGCAGCGTGACTCACCTGGTCTCTTTCATGTGAACTGCACGACAATTTTTGTCATAGTATTGTTTATTACTTATCAATTTATAGCATATTTCTGGGTGGACACATTTATAGACAGTTGAAAGACGTGCCTTTTGTTTGCAGTTCATGGCAATTCAAGGCAGTATTAAATATCCTCCTATACCTGGTACATGAACCTACCTTAGTTGCAACAATGGAAAGCCCCATTCCATTGTTGGATTTATGTAGCTGAATTATGTGGATTTCCGGCTCACCACGAGGAATGGACATTGATCGGTTGCTCATTACACTGGGACTTCGGGGCTAGAATGAGAAAACATAGTTAGCTTTACAATATTAATGATGATGCAAAATTTCACATTACACTACATTAATAAAGTGAAAAAATATTGCTTGAGGTGTAATATATTATCTTGAGATACTTTTCTATTGCCTTTATGCATTTATTTTATCTTAAGTGCATTGCTTTTTATTGTACATTTGCATTAATTTCTTTTAAAATATGATGCAACTTATCTAGGTACTAGGTAATGATAGGAGTGTGTTCTTACCCCTGGAGGTGGCCTCATATCCTGTTCATGCATATATATAGTCCAGTAACCCGAGGATGATGGCTGTGGATTCATACTGCAGAGGCCAGCATGTTGGAGAGGATTTAAAAATTCAGCCAGTCCTGAAGGAACTCCACGCACTATATCACAAGAATATCCATCCTCTGGAAGAAGGAAAGGAAGCTGCAAATCAATCTCCTCTTCTAGCCGAACCTCTCTGCCATCTTCTCGAGCCAATCCATCAGCTGTGCTTTCCGCAACCTACAAAGAAAGTGAATATGAAGTTAATTGTCTTATACTGTTATTAATTTATTCACTGTTAAGTACTAAACTCAAAAGGGCTATAAAGTGTTGTGAATGTCAATTAGATGTAATCCCAGGAAGGGAAGGGTAATTGCAGTTCTCTGAATCAAGAGACTTTTAGCATCATCAAGGTACACACCCCTTGATAGATCATGTATTTTGTATCATGCATACTATATCATAATTTAATTCACTGAATGGAGTGTTTCAAACCCAAGGCAAGCCAGTCCTAAAAGTAGTAAGTGGGTGAGCTGTCCACTGTACTATGATGGCCCAATAAGAGTCATTCAATTAGGTGTAATTCTATACACACTAAGAAGGTTAGCATGGGCACCACTGTGACCACTAATTCAGATATTTAGAGAGAAATCTTGCAACTCAAGATAGGTGAAATCTATTATGAATAACTCGAAAGTTGTAATGACACAATTGCCACCAATCATGTCTCATTCCTGGGACAAAATCAAATGATTAAGAGGAAAAACAATTATGAAAGCCCAGAAAAAAAAAAAAATACAAGAATTTTTCATATTTAAAAATGTCTAAGTTAGTTTCAAAGATTAAATAAAAAAAAATCATGCAGCAGCTTACAGCAACAACATTGTCAATCAGGTCTTGAGGTATTTTAGGCTCATCTTGCATTGGCTGGTATTTCTCTAAAAGAGCTCGGAGCTGAAGTGAATTAAGCTTGAAACATGTAGATGATATGGTTGCTATATCATCAGGAGCAGACTGAAAAAAAAGATAAATCATTAATATATTTCATCTTATAGTTCAAATTAAATACAAAATACAAAGTGAAGGAATTCAGAGAAATCTGTTAGACTTGAGTTCTAGAGGTGCAACTTCCTGACCCATCCTACAAAAGATGGATGAGGAAGTTGCACTTTAGGAAGTCGTTTAAATTGTGATGTCTGTGCACTTTTGGCTAGAAGAATATTGAACAAGTGATGGTGAAAGCATTTCCTTTTTTTGGGTCAATCCATCTTGGCAAAAAATGGGCAATGTGGAAGAAAAATATTATTCAGCCTCATTCTACTGACACTGCTACCATTTCTGGAAGGAAAAATGTATTTAGCTACATACCTTTTGTGAGTGTAATAACATGGCTGCCTGTGATAATCTAGCCAAGTGACAATCTGCTGCCAGCTCCAGGCCCTGCTTCTCTGCCCAGAGCTCAATGCGAGCTAAACGTCGTTTTAATCTTACACCCCACACTCTGAAATTGAATACTGCTGTCACACTTGAAAGAACAAATCAATATACAAGTGATTACCTATTCCTAGAGATTACATGTAACCCAGTTGTACGACATGAGTGAAGCTATGCTTATGACTAATTATGTATGAACACCTTACTGTATGCATTTTACTGAAAAATGTATTGAATTAACAGGACCCACTATGCAGGTGTGTAATCTTGGGATTACTGCTTTCAGAATGACTATGGGGCATATAACATGCAATGAAATCTAATCAAGAAAAGTTGGAGGAAGCGAGTAAAAGAGGCTTTGAGCTTTAGGGGGTTGAGCATCCAGCAGGCTTGCGTGAGCAGATTAGACAGGAGTGAATGGAATTAAGTGGTTTTTAATGGGCATGCTGTTGGAGTGTGAGCAAGTTAACCTTTATGAAGGGATTCAGGGAAGCCAGTGAGCTGGACCAGAGTCCTGGAGGTGGAAAAAGTAGTGCCTGTACTCTGAAAGAGGGGGTGGGGATATTGCAGTCAAAGGGTAATCTGATTTGTGATGCTAGCACATTGCTGGCAAGACAGCAATTGAGTAAATAGTGATGGACGTTTTTTCTTCTTTGAGTCACCCTGCCTTAGTGAGAGATGACCAGTGAGGAAAAAAATTCAGTTTTCATGTAACCCTAACAACAGTATATGTAATTAGGTCGAAACTTCAATACTTAAAAACTTGTTGCCTGCATAAACAATTCTTTAACCCGGTACCTCATTTCAATATAGGTTAAAAAACATTATAATTCTTCAAAAGTTATACGTCGTTTTTGCACCCCAATATAAATCATCAATATATTAAACAAAGGCTTCTTAACGTGTCAGAACTATAACCTCATCTATAATTATATACAGGATTTTATCATAATTCAATTATGGACAAATGCATTAGTTTTACCATAAATGTCATTGCAATGTTTAAAGTAATTTATAAACTACCTAGCACCTAATACTGCACCTATGAGAAGCTTCACATGCTGCAGCTACAGGAGGGCCCTGCTTATACAGCAGGTTAGGTTTTGGGTTACCACTGTAAAGTGAATCAACCACAGTGTGAGGAGGGGAAAGCCCTTTATTTATTTATTTTTTTTTTTTACTTTGAAATGCATATAAAAGCCTGACAATATGTTTACACTATCATGTATTAAGGCCTATCATATATATCATATATATAGGCCTAAAAGTATCATATATATAGGCCTATAAAAAATCATATACAGTACACACATTACTTACTTTAATATATTTTCATTCTTAGTTTATAGTAATTGGTGAATACATTTATTGTAGGAAGTCTGAATAAATGAAGAATGGGTATGACTGAAAACTGTTGGATTAGCGAAACGCTGTAAAGTGAAGTGCTATGAAGCGGGGACCTCCTGTATTATTCTACTCCGTTGTAGTTTTTATTATATTTACAAAACATTTATTGATAGGTGGGGATGCTGAAGTTCTAAGGTTTATTTCAATTTTTATGTTTATGCACCTCTAGCAGGACAGCTCAAGAATAAACAATGGTGAATATTTCCTTCTTTGGGTTGCCGTATTTCGGCGGGAAATGGCAGGTGTGCTACAAAATATGTACGAATTTAGTTTGTAAATAATTTAATTACTGTATATACAATAATTTACATCCATTCTCCATTAGCAATAAGAACAATGTAGTGAAATCATTAAATGATTTTCTCCACCTAATTTTTTTTTTATAAAATGGTGAACACTGTACAGAACAAATGTGCATACCTGGTGCAAAAATTTGGGTGGGTCTCTGCCACTATGCGGTTGAACACCCACATATTGATGAAATGGAAGAGTTGAGAAAACAGCTGAATAGTTAGTGCAGCATTCACCCGACACCGCCGCAGCAAAGCCATGGTGTTGGTTAAGATGGATAGTACCTGCAAGATTATATTATTACAACTCTGCATAAAAATTTAAAATTTAGATGTAGTATACCATATCGATAATGAATTTTTTTTTTCAACAAGTCGGCCATCTCCCACCGAGCCAGGGTGACCCAAAAGGAAAGAAAATCCCCCAAAAGAAAATACTTTCATCATCATTCAACACTTTCACCTCACTCACACAATCACTGTGTTTGCAAAGGCACCCAGATACAACAGTTTAAAAGCATATATAATATGCCCCTCCAGTACTCAAGTCCGGCTATGTATAAAAAATAACCTGTTTCTCTGAATCCCTTCACTAAATATTACCCTGCTCATACTCCAACAGCTCGTCAGGTCCCAAAAACAATTCATCTCCACTCACACCTATCTAACACACTCACACATGCCTGCTGGAAGTCCAAGCCCCTCGCCCACGAAACCTCCTTTTTCCCCTCCCTCCAACCTTTTTGAGGAGGACCCCTACCCCGCCTTCCTTTCCCTACAGATTTATACGCTCTCCAAGTTATTCTACTTTGATCCATTCTCTCTAAATGACCAAACCACCTCAACAACCCCTCTTCAGCCCTCTAATACTTTTAGTAACTCCACACCTACTCCTAATTTCCACACTCCGAATTCTCTGCATAATATTTGCACCACACATTGCCTTAGATAGGACATCTCCACTGTCTCCAGCTGCCTCCTTGCTGGAGCATTTGGAACCCAAGCTTCACACCTACATGAGAGTGTTGGTATCACTATACTTTCGTACATTCCCTTCTTTCCCTCCATGGATAATGAATATCTTAGCTATTTAGAAACCAATAGGGGCAAAAATTAGGTATTTTACTCACGTGAGCTGTGGACCCTTCTTCTTCATTTATATCGTCTCTATCCTCCAGAAACATTGGTAATGATGTAGACAGCTCAGCTTGCATGCAGTCCACCAAACTTCTACAATGACAGAAGAATATGAAGGGTTAAGGAATTGAAATATGACTAATATTTTAAACTTGCTGTGAATTAAGTGTATTACTTTCCTACCCATGTGATGATGATAGAACAGTTAATCCTTTCATGAACACTGTCAGATACATATTTATATGTATTTCATCTATTTCAGTAAAATAACAAAAAAATGACATAGACAAGATATTTAACCCCTTGATTGCCGCAACCCCAAATCCTGAGTTGTCTCCTAGTGTCGCAAAAAAAAAAAAAAAAAAAAAAAAAAAAAAAAAAAAAAAAAAAAAAAAAAAAAAAAAAAAATCTTATGAAATGATAGAGAATCTTTTCCTAATTGTAATGACACCAAAAGAACAAAATTTGATGGAAAACTGATGGAATTACGTCCTTGCGAAGTTACTGACCTCAGCGATATTTACGAATCGGCGATTTCGCTCACTTTGAGCCCTATTTTCGGCTAATTCCATTGTTTCAGTCAACCAAACTCATAGCTATTTCTTTAGAACTCCATTTTTCCTATCAATTGAATACAAGAAACTGCCCATTTACTGATTTTAACTACCCAATAACGTGGTGGCGAGAAATTTGCAATTTGGCCAAAATCACAAAAATTAAAAAAATGACAATTTCAAAATAGGGTCCAGAATGAACAATGCAGACATTGCTGGCTCTAAAATAACATTTTCTTTGTTCATCAGTCACGTCTCCAAGCCCCTCTGATATTACTCTTGCTTTTCTATTTTGAATTTTTATTCAAACAAAAAGTAGAAGATTTACTGTTATGCAGACTACTGCAATATTGTAATAATTGTATAAATAATGTCAACCCATTCATGACTGCATACTAGAATGGCTACTTGGACATTTATTGGAAAATGACATCATTTGTTTACTTTTGAACATCGGCAAAAATCAAACATTTCCCCTACTTTGAGCTCCATTTCAAGGCTTGTTTCATAGTAAAACCAATCAAAATCATCTCTATTTCTATAATATGTTTTCCATTCTATCAAATGAGACCAAGAAAACGAGAATACAACCATAAATACTATACGAAAATGGACCACAAATTCGGCATTTTAATTAAAAAAAAAAAAAAAAAAAAAAAAAAAAAAAAAAAAAAAAAAAAAAAAAAAAAACGGTCGGAGTTTTTTTTTCTCATTATGCACTACGTGCTGCAGGATTTTTTTTATATGGTGCACACTGACCCATTCTCTCACATGTGGGCCTACCAGCTTTCTCCTGCTTGACTAATTTGTAGCCGCTAGAATTTATGAGTATACAGTGGACTCCCGGTTAACGATATTTTTTCACTCCAGAAGTATGTTCAGGTGCCAGTACTGACCGAATTTGTTCCCATAAGGAATATTGTGAAGTAGATTAGTCCATTTCAGACCCCCAAACATACACGTACAAATGCACTTACATAAATACACTTACATAATTGGTTGCATTCGGAGGTGATCGTTATGCAGGGGTCCACTGTATATACATGGACGTCAAAAATGGTGGCTCGTAAGACATATATATATGACCAAAACAGTCAAAGGGTCAATGTAACCTACCTGAAAGCAACCTGCACAGCCTCTGCAAGAATGTCCTGGGCATCAAGAGAGTACCCACAAACATGTCGGTCCTGTTTTAAAAAGTGGAGTAATTCTGATGCATTTGCCATCCAGAAAGCTAAGGATGTTGGATCTCCATGACGAGACTACAAAGAAAAAAAATTCAGTCATGAGTACCGTATGTCAAAATTGACTAACAAATACTGTATTACAAACTGTATGAAACATATATTTACTCAGAAATTTGGTACAGTTCAGAAACTTGCTAAATGACAACTGGAGTTCTGAGTCATGTAAATCTGTAGTGGATGGAAGGCAGGGTAGGGGGTCATCATAGAAAAGTATGGAGGGAGGGGATAAAGGAAGTTTTGTGTGAAAGGGGCTTGGACACACAGCAGGTGTGTGAAAGGGGCTTGGACACACAGCAGGTATGTGCAAGTGCTAGACAGGAGTGAAGACAAATGATTTATGGAACTTGACAAGCTGTTGGAGTTGAGCAAAGTAATAGTTTGTGAAGGGATTCTGGGAAATTGGTTAGCTGGACTTGAGTCCTGGAAATGGGAAGTACAGTGCCTGCACTTTAAAGGAGGGGCTTGGGATATTTGTTGTTTAGAGTGACATTTAAACTACAACATCTTTGCACCTTCAGAGAAAATGATAGTGAGAATGAAGATGAAAGAGTTTCTTTTTCGGGTCACCCTGCCTCGGTGGGAGCAGCAGTAGCAGTGGGAATAGCATAAGGATTATGAAAGAGCTGCAGCAGTAGGAAGAACAGCAGCAACATCATTGTTAGGAGGGAGGAATAGTTTTTATTAACCTAGCTTGCACTTACACCATTGTATACATGAACTATACACAACAGTGACTTAGCTTTCACTAGATCACAAATGGTATAAGACATTGCTTTCTGGTTGAGCAACCCAAAAATTCTTTTGAAAAAAAGGCAAAAATATTTAATTATGTACTTATTAAAAAATCTACTTACATGTATGACATTTTGGACCATTGCTGCAACTTTGGTGAGCATTTCTGTTAATCTGTGGGCACGATCTGTTGGGCTCAGGTCTGGACGGTAGTGGGTTGAAGCTCTTTATGTGGAAAATATTTCGTTGTACTAAATTAAAAACTATCAATAAAAAGAATAGAAGAAAAGCAAAGCTAGCAAGACCTTTTAGTATACAAATCACAACAATTTGCTTTTTCAGCCACCACATGTACTTTCTTCTTTCTTTCAACAAACCGGCCATATCCCACCGAGGCAGGGTGACCCAAAAGATAAAACGAAAGTTTCTCCACTTAAATTTAGCAATATATACAGGAAAAGGGGTTACTAGCCCCCTAGCCACAGACATATTTATACATATAAAAAAAAAAAAACCTGACTTGCACTTCAAAAAATGCTACATTTACATTCTCCATCCATGTTACCTTTGCCTTTTCATTATATAAATGTATGTATATTAAATTTATTTATGCACAAAATATTTTCCGACACTCCATTACTTTTCCTAAAATTTTATGTGATTGGTACAAAATACATACAGTGGACCCCCGGTTAACGATATTTTTTCACTCCAGAAGTATGTTCAGGTGCCAGTACTGACCGAATTTGTTCCCATAAGGAATATTGTGAAGTAGATTAGTCCATTTCAGACCCCCAAACATACACGTACAAACGCACTTACATAAATACACTTACATAATTGGTCGCATTCGGAGGTAATCGTTATGCGGGGGTCCACTGTATATGATATTACAAGATTATGCAGAATGAGTAAAATTGCCCAAGACTTGGTAAAGTTAATCTACATGCTTCCTTAAAACTACATTTAAATAATTTTTTTTTTTTTATTATCACACTGGCCGATTCCCACCAAGGCAGGGTGGCCCGAAAAAGAAAAACTTTCACCATCATTCACTCCATCACTGTCTTGCCAGAAGGGTGCTTTACACTACAGTTTTTAAACTGCAACATTAACACCCCTCCTTCAGAGTGCAGGTACTGTACTTCCCATCTCCAGGACTCAAGTCCGGCCTGCCGGTTTCCCTGAATCCCTTCATAAATGTTACTTTGCTCACACTCCAACAGCACGTCAAGTATTAAAAACCATTTGTCTCCATTCACTCCTATCAAACACGCTCACGCATGCCTGCTGGAAGTCCAAGCCCCTCGCACACAAAACCTCCTTTACCCCCTCCCTCCAACCCTTCCTAGGCCGACCCCTACCCCACCTTCCTTCCACTACAGACTGATACACTCTTGAAGTTATTCTGTTTCGCTCCATTCTCTCTACATGTCCGAACCACCTCAACAACCCTTCCTCAGCCCTCTGGACAACAGTTTTGGTAATCCCGCACCTCCTCCTAACTTCCAAACTACGAATTCTCTGCATTATATTCACACCACACATTGCCCTCAGACATGACATCTCCACTGCCTCCAGCCTTCTCCTCGCTGCAACATTCATCACCCATGCTTCACACCCATATAAGAGCGTTGGTAAAACTATACTCTCATACATTCCCCTCTTTGCCTCCATTATAAAGTGAAATTTCTGAAAACTTCCGAGAACTTACCTAAACCTGGCTGCCATGTAGAGGGTGTATGTTGGTGCAAGTTTAAATTGTACATCTGTAGGGTCAAGGTCAGTTGTAATGGCATGAAGAAATGCATCTTCACTTTCTTCTCTAAATTCTAGCACTGCAGGAAGAATGGGATCACGTGCTGCTGGATACCGCTCATAGTTGCCCCTAAGTAGAATTTTATACATCGATATTTATGCTTATTTTTTGTAACGAATAATGTACTGCATCCATATATTTATATGTTAAAAGTATTTCATAAAATTAATGTCCAAACAATTATATATAGTAAATAAATATATTTTTAAAAGTTTAGTATGTTTATTTAATCACATTAAAAGACAGCTAAACATTTATATTCCAAATTCCAACATTTAGTATTATTATATTAAACAGTTAACTTACATAGCATGACGTCTGATGGTCCGAGAGCTGCATGAGAATTAAAACAAAGATCATGCAACAACAATATCATTCATGCCTTTTATAAGCACCTTCCTAGTACTGTAGATAACATCCCATACAAATAAAATCCCACAATGTGCTATCTGCCATACTAGTACCATAATTAGTTTTTCTTGAAAACTCTAACATGGTTCTATTTCTTACCTGCCCTCAAAGCTCTGATCAATCCTGTTGGGACGTTCTTGTGCAGATGACTTAGAGTTGCGTGACCCAGCCTGAGAGCCCGAATGAGACCCAGCATGCGACACTGTGTCCCCCCCAGCCTCTTGCTTGTCCCCAGGTCCCCCAGTTGCTGCCTTCTCCTGCCCAGATCTGTCAACCCCAGGGATGCTACATGCTACGTGCTACACACATGCTGGCCACTGAACAAGATTATTGTGTAGTAGACATACACACACACACACCAGTATCACCAAGGACAGTAAACTTGCAGAGGAACACTATACATGCTGCACTTAACATTTATATTAAATAGTTAGAAATGTTCTGAAATTAATGTTCTATAAACAAATTTATAAACTGTAATCTAGTGGAAAATATTCAGCAAGACATCAAATAAAAGGGGCTCCTCAAATAACCATATGTTATCATATGCAATCTACATGGTCTTTATGTACAAAAATGGTTTTATCAATGGTTTGATTAAGTACTGTACATCATAAAACATGTAGATTAAAATTTACAACATCCTGAACCTTTTAAAAGTGAAAAAGCTAAATAACAAGATTAAAAATTAAAAACCTTTAAAAAATTTAAAACCCCAATTTCTAATTAAAAACACATTTAGTAATGATCCATATTTTTCATTGCTATTTCATGGTTTAAATAACTATGCTGTGTATTGTACTTTTTGCAACCCAAAAACCCAAAATTTTAATTTTAAGATTTCTTTAAAAATCAAACACAAAAGATGTGGTAACATTAAGCAGAACTTGTTTGAATCCATAATTACAAAAAATTCTCTAACAGGCTTGTCTGTCTATTAGGGGGTGACGCTCATCCTGTTGTGGATCAATAATCGAAATTTTGGGGAAGGGGCCAAAATCGTACAAAATCCATGCTGGAAAAGTTTTTAAAAAAGTTAATCTTAGTTATTGGCACATTATAAAAAATTATAGTAAGAGACTATTTGCTAATCCCCCTTCAGAAAAAAATACGGGGTAGCAAAGCACAAAAATCAAAAAATCTCATGAATTTGGGGTTTGAACAGTACCTTCAAGTACAATGTGGTACATGTCTGAAGACATCTTATTCAGAAAAATTAAGTTTTTGCTGCCCCCCTGCCCAAAAACAAAAAAAAAAATGAAATTAAAAAAAGTAACTTTAATTAAATCACTATTTATTCAAAAAATTGGGCAATTGGTTATTTAGCCCCCAAGCCAGCACTTGATTTGTGTTTAGAAAAACCAAAAATGGTGAAAAATTTGGGGTTTGACAGGATGAGTTTTTCTTTAGTTATGACATGGATTTCATTTGTAAAATGCTGCACAAATTTCAGATGATCATTACAAAACCAGGATTTAAAAATCTATATTTTAGAAAGATGAATATGGGTATCTAAATGAAAGATAATTGAAAATAAAAAAACTGTACAGTAATTGTCTTCAAATACACGAACAAATAAATGTTCTGGAGATCATCACTGCCATAGTCCAATCTCAGATCAAAACCCCCTAAACTGGAAAGGAAATATTACAGGAGTAAGAACTATTAATAAACACAGGAAAATAAAGGTACTGTAAGTGTTTTTTGATTGTAAGTAAAAGTTTGTAAGATTTAACTGTCAATTTATAGAATAATGGCTGCAAGGTGACAAATGCAGGGGAAAAGAGTTAGTTTATGGCCCCCCGTGGACTGAATGTTTTCCATACCAACTGCAGCTTACTTGAAACAGACAACAGGAGAATGGACACAGTTACATCATTTTGCTTGGAGATCAAGCTTTTTCGAGTCTACAGAGAACACATGAAAAACCCTGGAGAGGTGAGGATGGTTCAAGTACTATGAAGTTCATGTCTAGTTGTATATCTATTTCCCATGAATCTAATAAAATTTGACAAAGTTTGTACAGTGCTGTTCTCCCAAGTTTTTTTTCGTCATCTGCAGTTTTTATCCCTTTTAGTCCTTCGTTTTACTTATTTGCAAGATTCCATTCCACATTTTGGTAGGAGGTTGTACTGACCTCACTCAAGGTTACGTATACCAACTTACATATGGTTACAAGGGACAGGGGATGGCTTAGGCAGGCCTCACCTGAAGTATAGGGGTCTAAAATTTATGCGTTGTCCGTTAAAAAAGGGTTGCATCTCCGAAAACGGTGAAAGGGTGACAATGCCTTTGTGTGTGCAATGACGCGGCCGGGGCTAATGTTAGAGCCAAAAAAGCTGAAGGGATTTTCCCTCCAGTGTGGGTGCTGCGGTCTGTCCCCAACTTTTTTGTTACATTGGGTGTAACTGATGCTGTCTCCCTTTTCCCCCCAAAGTTCACTGCCTCGCAAATCAACTTTTTTAATTACGTTGATATTTGCCGGGGGGGGGGGGGGGGGAAAGGTGGGTGTGGTATTTTATGGACCTCCAGGGTTTTTGTGTGTTCAAAAAGCCCCCAATATTTTTTGTGTCGGCTATCACCCATGAAATATGGAGCCTTGTTGGAGTTTCCAAAAAGCCCCAAATAGGCAGAAACAAACCCCTTTAAAATTAAAAATTTAAAAAAAGGGATAAAAATTTGGGTTTTGTTGAAAACCATTTAGGTTTGGGGACCGTGGTGATCTGTATTACCTTTTTTTTTTAAATGTCATTATTTTATTTCGAAAATTTCTAAATCTTTCAATTACGATAAGAGAGGATTTTTCCCTTGCAAAGTCTCCCCCCTTTGCTTTTTTAAGGCCTTGTTGATGATGGATTAAAAAATGTACATGCCCCACCACCACCACCATGCGGGGGGAATCATTTGGGCAACATCGTCACTCGTCTTCAAAAACACCCATAAAAGGGCATGGGGTAAAGGGAACTTACCATGTGAACCAAGTGGGAGAGAGGCCTCATTAATTTTTAATACAAGGTTTGAGGGAAAAAAACATACTGTGAATACAATTTTGTGAGGGAGACAACAAACTGGAAACAAGATTGTGAGGGAGCCAACACTACTGTGAATAAAAGTTTGTGAGGGAGAAACATACTGTAATACAAGATTGGGGGAGACAACACTACTGTGTACAACGGGGGGGGACAACATACTGTAATAAAGACTTGAGGGAGAAAACACTACTGGAATACGTTGGGGGAGACCAATACTCTGTAAAAGGGTTGGGGGAGAAACACTACTGTGAATACAAGATTGTGGGGAGACAACACTACTGTGAAACAAGTTTGTGAGGGAGAAAACTTACTTTGAATACAAGTTTGTGAGGGGGAACAATACTCTGAATACAAGTTGTGAGGGAGAAATCTGTGAAAGAAACTTTGAGGGAGACAACAACTAGAATAAAGGTTCTTGGGTAACAATTATTGTGAAACAAGGTTTTAAGAGACACCACGTGAACAAAATTTTGGGGAAGACCAGACTGTGAATACAGCATATAAAGATGCACCATACTGTGAATAAAAAGCCGTATCGGGGGAAAAAATTTACATAACACAGGGGTGGAAAAAGAAAAAACCACTAAAAATAGAAGGGCCCAAGGGAAAGGGCCGAGCCCACCATTAAATAAATGTCGAGAAAGACCCCCCCCAGGACCAGTGTAAACACACACACACACAACACAGAAAAAAAAAAAAAAAAAACTAACCACCAAAAAATTCCACGGTCATTCCCCGGAAAGCAAACCTCCCCAAGGGTAAATTAATGTCATCAGGGTTTTGACACAATTTTAACCCCAAAGTTATCCGGGTTGTTTTTTGCAATGCTTAGCTTCCATAACCCAAACAAACATAAAAAATTTATTATAGGGAAAAGACACTTAATATGCTTGATAATAAAGAAAGATTTTAAAAAACAAGTCTTTGCCTTATTTAACTCGTGGGGTAAAATAAAAATTTTTTGGGTAGTTTCCACGATTTTCAATTTAAACCAAATGAAAAAAGAAAAACCATGATAAATGTTTCCCCTTCTCTAATGTTTAAAACTGAAAAAAGGTTAAGTGGCGAAAACGGAAGCGATAAGAACACTTAGTAAAACACTTGTTTCCAAGGGGGAAAGAGTTTCAGTGGTGATACCCTGGATATCCTCCACCAGCAGACCTTGGTTTCCCCACAAAAGCCCCTGGCTCCCCACCCCCCAGCACCCCCGGGCTCCTCCACCACCACGCCCCCCCTGGCCCTCACCACCCCCAGCACCCCCCTGGCTCCCCCCACCCCAGCACCCCCCCTGGCTCCTCCACCACCCCAGCACCACCCTGGCCCCTCCCCCACCATGCACCACCCTGGCCCCTCCACCGCCCCACACCACCCTGGCCCTCCACCCCACCCCACCCCCCTGGTCCCCACACCAACACCCCCCCCCTGGTCCTCCACCACCACACCCACCCTGGCCCCTCCACCCCACACACCACCCGGGTCCTCCACCACCACACACCCCCTGGCTCCTCCACCACACACACCCCCTGGTCCTCCCCCCCAACACCACCCGGCTCCTCCACCCCACACAACCAGGTCCACCACACCCCATCGGGGTTCCCCCACCACCACGCGCACCCTGGCCCCACCACCACACACCCCCTAGCTCCCCCCCACCCCACAACCCGGGCTCCTCCCCACCACACCCACCGGGTCCTCCCAACCCACACCCCCCTGGCCCCCCCCACCACCAGCCCCAAACCCCCCCGGGCTCCTCCACCCCACGCCCCACCCGGGCTCCCCCCACCACCACGCACCACCCTGGCTCCTCCCCCACCCCCACGCACCTCCGGGGCCCCCCCCACCCCGACCATCCGGCCCTCCACCCCCCAGCACCCCCTGGCCCCTCACCACCCGCCCCCCCCTGGCTCCCCACACCACGCAACCCCTGGCTCCTTCACCCCCACACACCCCCCTGGCCCCTTCCCCACCCACCCACCCGGCTCCTCCCCCACCACACCCCACCTGGCTCCTCCACCCCACAAAACCCCCCGGGCCCCTCCACCACCACACACCACCCTGCTCCTCCACCCCCAACCCCCCCTGGCCCCCCACCCCACACACCACCTGGTTTCCCCACACCCCCACACAACCCGGCTCCCCCACCACCCACTACCGGGTCCTCCACCACCACACACCACTCGGCCCCTCCCCCCCACATCCTGGTCCTCCACCACCACACACCACTCTGGCTCCCCACCACCACGCGCCACCCTGGCTCCACCACCCCAACCACCCTGCCCCCTCCCCACCACACCCATAGGTCCTCCACCCCACGCACCACCTGCCCACCCCCCCCTAGCTCCTCACCATCAACCACCCTGGCTCCACCCCCACACACCACCCTGGCTCCTCCCCCACCACACCCCCCTGGCTCCTCCCCACACACACCCCCCCTGCTCCTCCACCCCAACCACCTGGCCTCGAACACCACCAACATTGGGGTCCCCACCACCCACCACCCTGGCCCCTTCCACCCCACACCCCCCTGGCCCTCCCCACCACAAAACCCCACCCGGGCTCCTCCACCAAACACCACCCTGGTTCCCCACCCCACACCACCCGGGCTCCTCCACCACCAAAACACCCCCTGGCTCCCCCACCACCACCCACCCCCCTGGTTCCCCTCCCCACCACACCCCCGGGCCCCCCACCACCAAACCACCACCCTGGTTTCCCCACCACCAACACCACCCTGGTTCCCCCACCACCACACCACCCGGGCTCCTCCACCCCCACCACCACCACCCGGGTTCCCTCCCCCCACCACGCACCACCCGGGCCCTCCCCCACCACCCCACCCTGGTTCCCCCACCACCCACCCCCCTGGCCCTCCCAAACTACACCAAGTACAGGCGGAAGGCGACGAAGGATCAACTTGCCAAAGGAATCAGTGTTTGTAATCCCCGGGGTAGATGAACTTTCTTTACAATGCTTCTTTTTCACTAGAATCAACCGTATATTCAACAGTAAAAAAATTATTTGAAGACTCGGGGGCTTTGCCCCCCCGAAACCCTCTTAGGTTACTCCGGGTATAAGATATAAATTTAATGATATTTTTAAAGGGGTGAAGTAAGGGCAGTAGGCAAATAAAGGGGTCAGTGTATAGTGGTGTCAAGGTGTGGGGTAGTATTTTTACGGTGGCAACTGAGCCAATAAAAAAAATAATCTATAGTGAAGGGGCCCGGGACAGTGTGCCCACACGGCGCCATTTTGGGGGCCAACACGGGGCGCCCACCCCCCAAGCCTAGTTACATAAAACCTTTCCTCCCCTAGTGAATAATTAGAACCCCAAAATCTCAATATAAGGTGGGGAACCACATTTCTAAGATTATTAGAGATTTGCTTTAAAAAAATTCGCAGGGTTTTGTTAAGTGGTTAAGGTAATTTTAAAAAGAAAAATCTACAAAAATTACTTAAGAGCAAATTTTTAAGATTTGGGGAAGCAGGAACTCGAAAAAGATTTTTTAATTAAGGACAATGGATCAAAGGGGAAATTTCGCTCGTTTTTAAAAAAATTAAAGTAATAACTAACATTTAATGGAATTCTCATACTAAATCTCTG